GATTAGAACGCTAGAATAAGAAGAATATCATCACGACATTTTTGCAATGGTCAAATGTTTTTCTTCAACTCTAAATTACCATACTGCCATTAATGACTTCGGGTCGGAACCGGGTCATGACCCAGGGTCCGCGTGTCTGTCCGATTTTAAACTAAAAAAATGTCTAAAATTGTACTGATAATTACTGAAATTACCACTNCATANTTCCAAAATTACCCATTTCAATTGAATTTATTTAGTTCAAAAGCAATGACAATTTCAGTAATATTAGAATGGATTTTGGACATTTTACTAAATGTACTTCTGTTTTAATATTATAAAGATATAGTCATTAGTGGAAGTATAACTAGTTGACTATGTTGTATTAAATTTTAAACGAAAAAATTGAATAGTTTTATATAACTTTATTTAAATGTTTTCCATTTTACATTCCATTTACTAAATAGTTTCGTTTTTATTTTGTCAAAAGTAATTGGTTTTATATGTTTAATTGCATTTATCCGTTTGGTGAACATTACAAGAAAACACGGTTTTAGCGTCGGCAAAATTCGACGCTAAATCGTCGACGCTAAATCTTTTTTGACGCTAATTTTGCGTCGTACAGAATTTCGTCGCTAATTCGTTGCTAAATTAGCATCAAATATTGGACGCTAATTTGATGCAATATTAGCATCGAATTAGCGTCTACGCATATCCGATGCAAAGATTCGACGCTAATTCGACGCTACTTTAGCGTCGAATTAGCATCGACAGAGTTCCAATGCAACATTTCGCAGCTAATTCGACGCTAAATTAGCGTCGAATTAGCAGCGGAAAGCATCGTAAGTCGACGCTAATTAGCATCCCTATTGCATCGATTTAGCGTCAGTATGATTGAATTTATTTAAAAAAATAAATATTATTAAAAAATATTATAAAAATTAAAAATATTTTAAAAGAAATACAAACGCAAATTTAAATTATTCGATACAAATGAAATAAAAACGCTAATCTACTGATGTTGGGTCATTAAGTTGATGGTATCTTTTTGAATCATCTCTTCGGATTCTTCCTCGAACTGCATTGGACCGGTAGGTGGAGGAGGCGGTGGAGGATGCGGCATGCTTTGCAATTCAGTTGCTAATGCCGGATTATCCACCGCAATAATGTTAAAGAGACTGATTAATGTTCCTAATTGAGACATAACGTAGCTGTTGGTGCTGCTTAGCTCCGCTTGTTCCGTCCTTAGCTGTGCAATCTCAACATTAGCAGCATCCAACTGAGCGGTCAAACGCGGCTCAGACAAACCCGGAGTGTAAGAACATCGAGC